TAGTAAGAGTACGTTAGAGTCAAAGAGGGTCATTTTTGAAGAACTTACGCTGTCGCAAAGGCATGATTGGTGGTGGAAACTTCGGGAACTTGTTGGGGGCATCGAAATCAGGGACTGAAAAGGTAAGGTCCTATCTGAACATACACAAAGGGACGTATGTCTGAATGTATAATGAAGAGTAAAAAATTAGAAAATTCGTGTTTCCCTTACTTATCACAGGTGCCAAGTCGTCATCAGCCGGAATTTGAACGTGGTAGGGGTCATGCTCATTTTCGCCCTCGCCTTCGCTGTCGCTCAAATCCGGAGGAATACCACAAGGAGGTCCAGGTGGGCGTAGTCCTTGCCGTCGAGGCCCGCCACGTGGTAGTTTGAATTCTACCTTCTTCCTTGAAGTGAAGTATTATAATATCAGGGAAGGAGAGAACATCTATCATAAAACTAGCAGTAAACTCAGAATCTGAAATCGCACGTCAAATTAATGTACATAAAGTTGAACGTGAGATCTTAAACGAAAAACGTCATCAAATGAGTGGTGGTTAGAAACAGCAGACTTACTTAACGGGAGCACTTGGTTGTGGACCCATTATCTGCACTTTACGTAGTTCACCTTCGGCAAGATCTCCCTCAGGAAGTGGAATGACATTGATGTCGGCGTTTCGTGCAAGACGCTCTTGCTCTGAAATTCGTGTTTCTCACTTCTATGGAACCTCACTGTGATTTTACAGATAATTACTAGATTATTAGTTCAAAACAAGGACGACGGAGGGAATGTCGCCAAAGTGGAAGAGCATTAGTTAGTTCGACATTACAATTATAGTTAGAATCCAGTTGGTTTTGAAGAAAAACACAGCATATGTCTACAAAACTGGTTCCCAATTATTAGGTTGTCCGGAAAGTTCTCAGCGTTTTGAGTGTTTCACTTTAAACGATAACTTTCTTAATACTCATCGGATTTCAATCGAAATAAGCACCGTTCGAATCAGCACACTTTTGCCAATGTGACACCAGTCGAGAAATCCCATCAAAGGAAAAAACTGGGTGGTCGAGAGAATCCACGAAGGCTTTTTTGCCTGGTCCTGATTGATGAAGTATTTTCCAGCAAGGAAGTTCTGAAAATGTTTGAAAAGGTGATAGTCGGTTGGTGAAAGGTCTGGAGAATATGGCGGGTGAGGTAGAACTTCAACCCCCAATTCGTTCAATTTATGGATAGTGATTTGTGAAACGTGTGGGCGGGCGTTGTCATGCAAAAGAATCGGACCCTTTCTTTTGATAAGTGTTGGCTGCAGCTGACAAAATTTTCGGTACATTTCGTCGGTTTGTTCACAGTAGGGTTCTGCTGTGATGGTTTGGCCTGGTGATAAAAAGTTATAGTGGATCACAACAGCCGATGACTACCACACTGTGAAAACCTTTTTGTCGTGAGGATTCGGCTTTGGAAATTGCCTCAGGGGTCCGCCGGCATCCAACCACTGTCCGAAACGTCTCCTGTTATCATACGATGATCCACTTTTCATCCACGGTGACATTTCACCATCATTGTCATCATTCATTCATTTCATTCATCATTTGGTCCAACGGTCGTTTCTGTTGCGCAAAAGCAGTGAAGAAGAAACCTCGAGACGTGCCAATTTCTGCCGGTCACTCGAATTGTGGGGCACCCAGTTGTCGAATTTTTTCACCTTCCATTTCAGACCATCCGCAACAGTGGATTTGCCAACGCCTAGCTTTTCTGCAATCTCTCGAATTGTTTGGGATGGGTCGCCTTGCACAAATGCCTTCATTCGTCGCACAGTGCTTTCTCCAACACTAGTGGGCCCCCACACCTGGTTAATTTTTCGAGCTGTCTCGACTGCGGATTGACCCAATTTGTAGTTGAAGAAAATATCGTCCGAAGTTGCTCTTTTGACATGCTTGAAAAAGTCTTGGAAAAGGGGGTTTATCAAGCAATGGTGAAACGGCAATTATACCATCAGATAGCGCAAAGAATTCTCTTCAGGATGTACTACTGAGACGCAAGGGAGAATGAGTTTTTAATCAGCAATGAATGTACAAAAAATAGTAACACAAACCGCTGAGACTTCCGGACAACCTAATAGATTTGAGAATCCAGGATTTGGTATATTTAAATAATTTTGATCGGGACAGTATTCTTTTGGAAGCTTGTTGGGGTCACTCCCCAATTGCATTTCGATTCCTTTAACTTCAGCACTCAACTTTTTTCTTTTGTGGATGCTGAGCTTTCTTTGGACTTGCGTGTTCACCTTGCCAGCACTTAAGAACCTCATAGCTGCTATCAGTGCACGTTTTACGTTCAGACCCCTCTTCGTTTTGAAGACTGTAGTGTTCCGCCATGAAGCAGTGGTGGAGTAGAATATTCTCCGTTAACGAATTCATAGGTCTCCTTTACTTTTTGCCTTGGCGCTCTCATACTCGAGCCAGAGCGGTAGATGCTGAAGAACACAGAAAGAGTGCGGTATCTTATCGCGCTTCACATGCTCAACCCACACCTTCTCAAACTGGAGCAAGTATTTTATTTGTATATCTACTCCAGTTCAATGTTGTAGTGGCTTACTGAATGCCTATACAATGATTTGCGGGTCAGCCGATGTACAAACCAGCGTTCTTATCGTCCCAGACGAAACTGATACAAATTTGCCATCCCCAGAATGTAGAAGGCTTAGTTGACCTGGGCGGGAGCTGATCCGGGATTCAAACCTCAGACCGCACGTGTGGTCTTGCCAGTAAACTACTCTGCTCCGAGGTCAAGTGTTTTAAGCTTGACTATATGAGAGAACTTTCCCGTTAACCTAACACAGCAACCCTATTTCCCAGGACAAAGGGTACCCGTACCACAAAAGCTCAACGAATAACAAACAATATGAAAAAGAGAAAAATTAAAAAGGGACATATCTCACCGGCAAGCGCTTGTAATTTCTTGCAGTCAGAATAGTAATGATGTAACTTCTCATTCAATTCCTTTAACTCTTTTTCGTCCTTCAAAGTTTGCAACACCGCACGTCGCTTGTTCACCATTTCCATAATAGTCTGAACACAAGTGTGCATCAACCTTTTGTTTTCAGAACCCGTTTTCCTTTTGCTGCCTAAAGACGTTTGGAAGGCAAATAGCTGATGTGTGCCTTCTTCTTATTGCATTACTTTCAACGCTCTTTCACTCATCTTCGATTATAAGTGTTGTCATCGTGTCTCCTAGGCGCATAAATGAATAAAAATAAAAATAAACCTCAGGATGAGCTTTTAGCGGTGAGTCAATGAAACAGAACCTTTACTCAAGGAAAGAACAATGAACCTAACGCTCACCCTTTGTTTTTTCCTCAGAACATCGATGTGGAACTGGGGCTTGTCGAGCCCAACAACTGAAAGAGGAACGTGGTGAGATCTGTCACAATGCAAAATGCTTCAACAAAGAGTAATTAAGCCAAATAGGAAATTGTGTCGCTGTTAAAAAAACGATGGAAAAGGAGAATAGGTGAACTGATCGCCTTACTTTGTCTCTCAATGGCAAGCATTTTACTGGTTGACTCGTCAACATCATAACATTTTGCTATAGTCTGTCGAATTTGCTGCCTATCTCGCTTGTTCTTCTTATTCTCACGCCTTCTCTCGAGTTTTCGGGCCTGAAAAAAACATACAGAACAAATAAAGAAAACTATGGGAACAGGTTACTTGAACGACCTTACCGAGAACTAATGGGCGTAACTTTGAACAAACACAAAGGACCCTACCTACTCGCCTGCACCATGATCTGCTGTTACATACCACACAGTAAATCTTCATTCTGCTCTACTATCTTTACTTTATCTTTTTACTAAAGACATTCTATTCACAGGTTTGCAGCCCAAAGAACGTTTAGCGCTCCTTCCCAAAACCTAAGTTTTGCTGTAATCGAGAGTCCCTTCGCACACTTTCTAGAATGGTTGTCCGGAAAGTCCTTGTCATTTTGACGGCATCGTAAAACAATTATTTTTGGAGAAACGAATGAAGCTCTTTTTGTCATATATTCTCTGATAATTCTGGCCCGGATTCTCGTAGTTATTTTGTCAATATACGCTGTATTGGGTATCCTTGAGACTTTCGCAAAATTTGGGGACCTCCTAAATTTGGTTCCTAAAGCCTGTTTGAACTTAAAGACTAATGTAGGTCTTCCACTGTTAATGAGGACTCAAAGCCTATCATTACAAAACCACTAATCACAGCTCGCTAGGTAAGAAGTTTTTGCCTAATTCATGGTATTCACGTAGTTCTCCAGTCTGTTTTCGCAGAAATTCTTGTTTCTAACCTACCCAGAAGACCGGCAATTGCCTTCTGGACAACCTGCACGGCTTTCGATTTCAGCAAATTGAATACGAAGACTGAGCGAAGCTGACCCTAGTTTTCCAGACTGTAATGATGTGATATCATTACACCAGAGACCACAAAAATCCTAACATGTCCGCACTTAATTGTGAGGCGCGTCTCACTACGTGATCCGATCGCTTGTATTGCGCGATCTCTATCTAAAAGGAGGTACCTATTTTCTGGGGTATAACCACACCCATAAACAGGGCGCAGAAAAACCCCTCCTCACTTTTACTTTTGTGTTTTTTTCGTTCATTCTAATCCATATTAATTACTTGCATAAAATGACATGGGCATGGGCTTGGAAGGTGAAACTAGCAAAAAGACAGAAAACTACTGCTGTGTCTACCAGCTTTCCGCGCGCGTTATCACGCGCGACTCTGCGGAATGCGCCCTACTTATCACAATATAGAGTAATTCTTTGAAAGTTGACAAGAGGAAAAAATGGGCCAAAGACATTCTATGAGAAAGGAATCGAAGTAGCCGTTGCAACTGTCCACCGACCCTGCGATGAAGCTCCCTCTGTCTGGGTTGCGCTATCCAAGTGTGGGATCGAAGTATGAACGGCTACCATAGGACATTCTCATAACCTGGCACTAATAAAGAAGCAAAAAGCTCTTACCTTTGGAACGAACCCATCTAATGAATGATTCATATGCACAGAAATGTAGACGCACCCAATTACTAGTAGTTAGGCGGCGTCTACTTCTACGGTACTAATCTTTCACGATATCAGCAAGGAGTTTGTATAAGCCATTTTATAAAAACCAGTCGGATCGCCCGGCTGTCGCCGGGCGCTCCTCCTTCTGTGACATGGCCCGGCCCGGGCCATGCGGATTTGCCGCGTGCTAAGTTAAGGATCGTTGACCAACCACACTGTTCAAAGGAATCTTCTGCATCAGCCAAGAACTGAAAAGCAGCGCTTGTTCCGTCAAGGCGCAGAAGCAGCAGCAGCGCCCCCCCCCCGCATCACAGAAGGAGGAAAGCCGGCCTTAGCCAGCGATCCGACTGGTACGTTCATAACCTACACGGAAATAGTGCAGCCTGTTTGGACAGCCACTGAAGCAGCCTATAATTTATGCAATCTGTCTTCCTAAAGCGTCTTGCTTTGGAATGCACTACCGCATTCAGCAGTGGAACCCTTTAAATGGCCCTCACTGAAGTTGCTGATGGAAGATAATTGTGGTAAGAGTGATAAAGTCAGTTGCTGCTGTTCATAACATCTCTGTAAACAAACCACATGCATTTGGAATAGAGCTGGCTTAGCGGTCGTACATGATGTCTTGAAATCACGGTCCCGCAGCTGCTGCAACTTGCGCTACGATTTCGGTCACCCCCCTTCTAAGGCCCCTTATCGAATCTTATCAAGTGTCATCACCTCCTGTCACCCATCAAAAGTGTTCCCGTCCTGCCATGTATATCACTCCTTGAAATCACGGTCCCACACCTGCTGCAACTTGCGCTACGAATTCAGTCACCCTCCCCTTCTACGGCCCCTTATCGAATCTTATCAAGTGTTATCACCTCCTGTCACCCACCAAAAGTGTTCCCGTCCTGCCATGTATATCACTCCTTGAAATCACGGTCCCTGCAGCTGCTGCAACTTGCGCTACGATTTCGGTCACCCTCCCCTTCTAAGGCCCCTTATCGAATCTTATCAAGTGTCATCACCTCCTGTCACCCATCAAAAGTGTTCCCGTCCTGCCATGTATATCACTCCTTGAAATCACGGTCCTGCAGCTGCTGCAAATTGCGCTACGATTTCGGTCACCCTCCCCTTCTAAGGCCCCTTATCGAATCTTATCAAGTGTTATCACCTCCTGACACCCACCAAAAGTGTTCCCGTCCTGCCATGTATATCACTTCTTGGAACTGTCATCCTATCTTTTCTGCGACGCTCGCTATGAATTTCGTGACAGACAGACAGACGCACACACACACACACACACACACACACAGACATACATAGCGGATTATATATAGTAGGATAACAGTTATTTATCCAATTCAGAGTTAAACGGAAAAAGACTGCTTCAGAAGCGTGTGCTAGCATTGAATTCATGAAGTGACCTGAAGAAAACTGCGGAGAGCGGCAATAAAACTGAAAGCTCTGCTATCACGCGACCGGCTGGCTCTTGCAGAGATACTGCAAACTTTCAACTAATGGCCAGGAGCCCAGGAGTACAACAGCACAAAAAAAGCAGCCCTAATTAGGAAAAAAATAATGCATGAAGCAGTTTAAATTTCCTTCCATATTTCGAGCAGTTGAAAATAGCCAATGTATAGAAGCGTGAAAAAGAAAACAAACTAGTGAAATGAAATAACTGACCTGATCAGTGGGAGCACGGAATATTCTTCCGCTTTTCGTTTTCGCAGCTGACGGCATTGCCTAAATCATACAATAAACTTTCAACTAAAGAAAAAGCAGCATTCAATTAATGAGACATTCGAAAGCTTACTTATGGCAAAAATACTGCTTATGGACAACGCAATTACAACAACGAAACACGATTTACAACAACGAAATGTTAGCAATGTATCCCTCACGCAAAAAACGAAGCATAGGAGTTAATTAATTTCAATACTGATTTGTCCTGACCACTAATAAACTCTAGTTCGTATTTTCTCGAGGCATCTACCAGTCCATTAGTTGAAAGAAGAAGGTAAAGGAGGAGGGATCCGGGAAGGGAGGAAGGAAAAGAAGGAAGCAGGAAGAAAAAATGAAGCAAGAGAGAGGTTGACAAGTGTCCTAGGACGGAAATGAAGAGCTGAAGTATTGAAAAAAAGGATCAGATACGTATCATCTAAAGAACTGTAGAAACAAAGAATTACAGAGCTGAAGAAATGAAGAGTTTACGAATTGCGGAGACAGGTTAATACCTATCCAACCTTTTTCGTCAATTCCTCAAATCTGCA